AATAATAATAATAAAGGGAGAAATGTGGGATCCACATATAAATCAAGTATAAAAACCAAATGAATATTCATATTTGACCTGATTGTTTATAGTTCATAATGCGTGATCAAAACTGAAAGTTTCTGTGATGAATGCCCTTGTACTGTTCACCATGTAAGAATTTATTCACTATGTAAGAATTTGTTCTCCATGTAAGAACTTGTTTGTTATGCTTCAGAAGATTGGAGACTGACGAGAACTAGGCTTGAGATGGATTAACGATTGCGCATTGAGCATTGACCCCCCTATACTGGATTTTATTGTTGTTAACAACCATTTGATCAATAAATATGAGAGATGCCCTCTCAAAAAAAAAAAAAAACATGCCACAGATGGTTCCTGAGAGCTACAGCTCCGGGTGATGTGGGCCTTCAGGCAGAGGTCCTTCCCTGAAATGAGGCAGAAGGCGACTTCACCTTGTGTATTGCCAAATAAAAGGGTTAGAACGTTAATTGAGGTGTTGCAACTCCTCTTAAACTAGTTCAGAGAATTGGCTAACAGGTAGATTATTCACAGTGCCAAGTGATTGTGCCAGGTTTCTGAAGTATCTTTAATCAGGTTTTACAAATACATTTCAGGCAGGGGGAATAGGAACTGCTATTTCATCCGTTTCCCAATGAAATTCTTCTCCATGCACTAACAAATGCCTTTTTAAGACAGAACATCATCATACAGTTTATTGTGACAATCTCACTGGGGTCAGTCGTTTTTGCTGTTTTAACAGCTGAAAATTTTTGGATGAGTGACTCTTCTGTTGTTCTGTTAAATGAACAGAGAACAACAGATTCTGCCTATTGAGCTGATTCTGCAAGTCACAAACCTCTCTGCATGCAAAAAGAGGGGTCAGCAGCTGTTTCCCTGCCTTGTTTGTAACACTGATTCACACTTCAGTGTACAAGAAGGCACATTTTAAAAACAAATGCTTAAATACAGAATAGGCATGCAACTGCCAGTGCCGCCCAGTGAGATGACCCTAAGGCCTGCCCTTGCATTCAGCCCTTCGGTTTGGGGAATGTCATAGTCTGACATGAGTGTCACTATCAAAACTACATTTTATGTCTTATGGACTCTGCAACCTCTAGAAACAGAATATATATATATATACATCCAACTCTCAAATTAAGTCTATCTGATTCCAGAAATCATTGCTTGCTTCCCAAGAAACAAGTGAAACTTACGCTTTAAGGACAACCAGAAAGCTGTATCCAATGCACATGATCCCCACTAGAAAATAGGAGAGCGGCAGCCTGAAATTCATCCATCCAATTGTTCGTTTATTGTCGTAATAGCCATAAAAGAGGACCGAGTATTGCGCCAAGCCCTAAAATCCGACAACAAAGCCACTTAGCAGATGCTGTGAGGAGCAACTCAAAAAAAAAAAAAATCAACTCTTAAGAGGAACGACAAAATGACATTAATTTTCAGACTTGGGAGATGGCTCTGACATGAGCTCTATTGTTTGGCTTTATGGAGTGAACGTTTCAGCTGCCACATTGATTGGCAGCCTCTCAGTTTACTCGAAATTCAGGGACTTCTAAACAGACCAAATTTTTACCCAAATCCAGGCCTGCTCAGCTGTGCAACCATTACTGTAAAATGCCCATTGACTGAAACATCAAAACACAATTCATTGTGCCATTAAATTGATCATTTTAAGGGCTGGCTTAGTATTGGGGGGAGGATCTGAAATGTGCTTCCTCAAAGTGTTATGGCAGGTTTCCATTTCCAGACACCTGAGCCACAGTGAGATAGGTTCTCCTTAAGCCACAGAGGCCGTGTCTCAGCTCACACTTAGCAAAAGCAAGGAGTATGTTTATTTGTGTAATTAAGTGCTTTTTCCTAAAAATGATCTGCCAGGGTTGGAATCACCATCTTCCAAAGTCACCTGGGTAACCCTTCTTTATATACAGAACATTGGCATATTCTGCATCCTTAATAACGGTCTTCATTTTTCTCTCTTTCTCCAGCTCACTGTTTTCACTGTCAATTGTGAAGCCTTGTTTCTGTATTATCCACATCCCCAGCTCCTCTCTGACTTCATCTCTCCAGCAATAACTTAAAATGACTATGCTTTGGGAAGGAAAAGGACAGTAACTTGTCAACATGAGGTTTCCTCTTGAGATCAGGTGAGTCACTCTTGAACCTTAGAAAATCCAACTGGCTGTGCTTAACATCATTTACACTGAGCCAGGGACTTTGAAGCCCACTACTAAAGAAGGCAGGAGAAAAAGTAGGAGGGAGTGAAGGGTGGAAGAGAAACAGGAAAAAATACCCTGGATGCTAATTCCAAGAGGCGGAATTAAGGGAAGTAATTTAGGAAATTGCCTGAAACAAAGATTGTGCGTAGCTCAAATCAGAGGTCAACAGATAGGTAAAAAAAACTACTGCTTTAAAAATTTCAGCAAATTTATGTTCTAATACTGTGCAAGAATTACCAGGAAAAAAGTCTCTGGAAAACCTCTGAAGAACTCACAGACTTAAGCAGGTTCAGAATGGGATGGGAGGGGGAGAGGTAAAAGCCAAAGTGCTTCCCTGTACCACACCTGCCTGTATCTGTATTTTTTAGCTCAAGAATAAAAAAAAAAGCCAACCCACAAGAAAATCAATGTCTAAACAACTAGCAGAAACCTCAAATAGAGGAAGCAAGTGGGATACCTCATGTCCAAGAAAAGAAACCAAGTGGATGGACTGGCCAACTGCCCAAGACCCAGAAATCACCCCAGGAGAATAATCATTGGCAGGATTTCCCTGAACCCAGTTCAATGACATCTTCTTGTTTCACATTCATCCAGTTAAGGTCTCTGCTTCCTCTCAGCTATTTTAAATCCAATCTCCTTCTACCAACCTTCAGACTGGCCTTCCTGTCCTGGCAATAATAAAAATAGAACCTGGTAAGTACAGGCCCCTTCTGTGGTTCAAAGATTTCCTGAACTGTTTTTTTTTTTTCCCCCACAACAGTTGTCATTCTCCAAACTCCTGTATTTTCCTGCAACCTATCCTTACCTCGTGTCTTTGCCACCGTCCTGACACTTGGTAATAATAGTTGCAATAAAAATGTCAAACATAAATTTTATTGAGCATTTAGTATTTATGGAACATCTTACTTCCTTTCACAGGATTCTCACAGGAAGTTGATACTGTTGTAACAATTGTTTTCCCTCACTCTTGATGTCACCTTCAATGAGCAAAAGACTCAAAAATGGAACATTCCCAGATGCTGTCCACTGCCTCCTACTGGCCAAGTGGGGAGAAACTAATCGACAGTCCAGCATGGATGAAGAAATAGGAACCATGTGGCCACCTCAATTCCTCTTCCTGAGAGAGAACACATTGTGCCCCACCCCTGCAAGGGGATCCCAGTCCTGGTTTAGGGCTGCTGGGTAGAAACTTGCCCATAAAAAGATGCCACATTCTTTAATATCATCTTTAACAGCATTAAAGGTGACATGTTGACCTCCATCTGTCCAGCCCTTTGTCTTATTTCTAGTTATCTCACAACCTGATTAGACAAGGTAGGGGGTATTATATACCATGATCCCCACCCCAGCCCAATAAAGACTGAGTAGCTATTAGCCCTGTATCTCTGAGCTTTAAAGAGGTTAGGTAAGTTGCCCACATTTACATAGCTAGTAAGTGACAGAGTCTGAGCTTAAACTGGGTCTCTCCAATTTAAATCCATATACTTAACTACTGTGCAGTACTATTTCTTGGAATACTTTCTTTGCCTACCAGGCCTTGTATCATGCTAATACCATACCTTCCTGGTAAAACAAAGACACCAGGGAACCTGCCAACCCAGCAGGGCCTTTTGACCTACGCCGGATTGTTTGTAGGTCATGGATTGGTCCACTGTGGTGCCAGGACCTTTTGGAAAAGACCTAGCCACCCCTTTTGAAAAGATTTCAAAAGGGCCTCATCTCCATAGACATAAACATTACAACCTGATATCTTTTTCTAATTAGTAATGGCAATATTGGAATTAAAAGACACCTCCAAAATAACATGAAAGGAGAAAGCAGATCTACAACAAGCACCTGGTGAGCTTGTTAGGTCAGTACAATAGCGACTGGCACAGCTAGCTCATCTGGTGTACGTACCACTCAACACATGTTCAATGACTGGCACTGCATAAATATTAGATCATGACCAAAGCAGGTAAGGGTCCTTATTTTGGAATCCTGATTATTTCACAAGTGTTTTTTTCAGTATCCCTATCATTCTGTATGCCATCAAGCATGTAAATGAAAGAGGTACTATTGAAGACCATAATTTTAAAAAGCTTTATCCAATCCATCTCAGTAGCATATTGAAGGGTGGCTTTAAACACCCCTCCTCTTCCATCCAGTGGGCCCACCATACTCCACACATCTTTCCCTTCCCCTTAAAACTCCAACGGCAGACATCTGGAAGTGACTAAAATAGTAATGACTCCAAGTCTGGCCAAGGTTCTATTTGGTTTCCATGTCAGCATGCACGGCTTTCCCTGTGGGAGCGCTCTCCCACCCCAAAATCTGTGACAGAGAAGCCACAGTCAGAGCCAAGTTTCAAATGAGCACGGAAAATTGCTGTCCAGCTCTGGGCTCCAAGCTCGTGCATTGTCTATTAAGACTAATTTCTGTTCAAATGCTGCAGCTGGTCTAGTCCACAGTCACTGATACACTTCCACAAGAAAGAGAATGTGTCACTGATGTTGCTAGAAATCAACATGTGTTACTTAACTTTTACTGAGAACTTACTATTTGCTATATACTATATATAGATGGAGTAGGAGACTGGATTACAGTGACCCCTAAAAAAGTTATGCACACAAAATGTCCCTTTCATAAGTATCTGTCACCTGAAATTATACTAGAACTCCATCCCCTTGGTGTTTACCATGACTACAAATAAATACTCACCGTGAAAGACACATCTATCCCGAGGATGGTAAATGAATTTCATCACCCTTAGCAACTGTTTAATTTGTAGTAACTGTCAGATCATTATTTTGGGGGGAAAAAATCATGAAGTCAAAACTGGTGGGAAAGGAAGATATAATTTCTGAACCAGACCTCCTGAAAGTATGTGAAGGGGAAGTGCACCACACCAGCAGAGGTATATTTCTACTTTTCTCTGAGCTGTTATCAGTCATTTATACCTTAGTGTTAAAGAAAGCTTCAAGTGGGGATGAAAGATAGGCAATGACATCATTTTGTATGTGATAGAGTAGAACACAGGAGAGAAGCAATGTGTGAGAATTCTAAAAACACCCAAAACAAACCTCAACCAAGTTCACAAGAACAGCAGCCAGTCTGACACTTAAGGGGTAGCTGCTGAGACCCAGCCCAGGGCCACCCTCCTCTCCAGCCTGGCCAAGCTCCTGCCTAATGCTCTGCTTACTTCTGAGTTTCCTTTCCTCTTTCTACAGCCCAGATTTGAGTTAGAAGACTGACACTATATGGCTCTTAGCTAGAAAGCATATAGATTACAAAGAGAAAGCAGGACTGAGCCTTAGCAGTTCTAATTTTCAGTAGTGGGAATGAACTTCTGCCTATCTACAGGAGCAGAGACAGTGAGCTCTGGCCCCCAAAGAGCTGTAAGTGAACAGTTTCTTTTGATGCCCACCCATACGTCAGTGTCTTTGTGCCTCTGCCTCCTTCCCACACAGTTGGCATGCTGGTGTTCCATGCCCCTTTCTGGTTGCTGGATACCATGCCCTCATCAGGGTGCCCTCTTCCTGTTTTATTGTCCCTCCAAGAATGGGCATTTTCATGAGTGAAGTACCCAGAGTAGGCATTTAAAGAAACATTTATTAAAGATCTATGATGTGCCAGGCATTGTGCTAACACTTTATGCACACAGTCTCACTTATATTTTTTATTTTACCAGGCTGCTAGGTAGGTATGAATGCTATTTTACACCTGACGATTAAGAGGTTCAGAGTGGTGTCTAATATCTCACAGGTAGCATGTGGCAGGATTCAAACCCAGGTCTGTCTAAATGCCATTGCTAAGTTCTTTTCATTAGGCTACACTGCATTTTTAACTGTGCTGACTTCTGTAAAAAGCACTTCCATTTGTCTTTTGTATCATGGACCACAACGGACTCTAGGGGTGTGAATTCTAGATCTTACACCCAATGCCTGTTACACATCTCAGTCCACTTGGACATCCCACAGGAACCTTGAACTCATTACATTTAACAAGTTCCCTCAAACCAGCGTTTACCTCTTATCACAAGGAATGACACCACCAACCTACCTTGTCACCCCAGCCAGATTCATTATCTTCCAATTTTCACCCATAAGCCACATGCAGTCCTTCTTAAGGTCCGTAGTCTCTGCCTCATCATCACATGCAAGACTGGTCCCTTCTCTGTACACCACTGCCATTTAGAGGCCTCTCCACCTCTAGCTCACACTAAATCCAACCAAGCCCATACCATATTCACACAGAATCTTCTAAAGAGTAACAGGCCATGTTTTCATCCTGTTTTGAAACTCTTTGTGCTCTCCATTGCCTGCAGGATAAAACCTGTATCTTTAGCATAATGAAGGAAACTGTCTTCACTGATGAGGCCCTTTTTGTTTGGCATACTCATCTTTTACTACTTGGCTCTCTCCCTAAATACCAGCTTTGCTGAATCTTCATGGGTATTGAGTGCATAGCACCATTTAGTGCCTCCATGTTTGTGTGCATACTGATCCATCTGCTTGGAATTCTGTTTCCAGTTATCCTCCCCATCTGAGAGCCTAGTCTATTCCTACTCTTCCTTTAAAACCAGTGCTAAATAACTCTGTGAAGCCTTTGCTGACCCCTAGACTAGAACCAGTTGTTATGGGGAAGCAAATGATCCTTTCTTCAGGTGTGCAGAATTCCACTGGAAGGACTACTTACTCCCCAGCCTCCTCCATCCCTCTACTCACTGCATCTCAGAGGAGGTACAGCGACTTCCTGGACCAGTGAAGCTGGGATGAACTGGGCTTGCCTAGCCCACATATAACTAACTGTCTTCCTTTAGGAAATAAGCTGATCCAGTGTAAGTTGGACTAATTTGGAGCATGCTAGGAAGGCCATTTTACTAAGAATCCCAGATTTGTCCTCTAATTTGGCCTCTATTAGTAATGAATTGGACTTTTGGCACCCAGCTGCCTCTCTTTTCAAAAATTATTCAGAATTCAAATAGAGTGACTCCAATAAACTCCAACACTGAACCCCCTCCATCATGCCTCCATGCACCTAGGACATGTATCTGTTAGCCTCAGATTCACATTGTATGGCAATTCTTTATTTGTATATCCAATTAGACTATGAGGTCCCTGTGGGCAGGGAATATATATCAGTTATCTTTGTATTTCCAGCATCTCACATTCAATTTATGTTTGTGGAATGACTAAACAAAGAGAGAAATTGCTTCTGGTTGTCAGCAATCCTCAATCAGATTAAGCTCCTTCAAACTATCAATCTAAGCCACCCTTTTCTACTTTCCTGCTCTCTACTACCCATTTTAATAAAATAGAGTAAATCATTCAAGACAGTGACATGACAATAACAATCTTACATTGGGATTTAATGAATCAAAATACCAAGAAAATACCTGAGAGAAACTAAAGCTGTCAAACTTCAATTTTTTCTACTGTGTAATTGCCGAAAACTCTTTCAAAATGAGGCAATCTCAGTGCTATAAAATAAACTGCTATGTATGATTTCTTCTCACATTTAAAAAGTGGTCTTTTGTTTCACAATGTGGAGATTTAACAACACGATAGTATGGGGTTTTGCTGTTCAATTGACTTCTGGACTTGTAAATCTGCCTACTAGTTCCTTAAAGTCATGCAAAATGAAATGCTATAAATTCATACATGAAAAGAGATGTATGTGGTTATCCACACCCAGTTTGTACTGGGTATTATCTTAATATCACCTATTTAAAAAAGAGTTTTTGAACAAATAAAAAATTTTTAATGTAGATAAAATATGGAAACTACTTGGGAAAATGAATTGAGCTGAGAAAATTTCAGCCCCATATGAGCAGCATATACTTTATTTCAAATATTTAAGATTAATGAGCATAATTAATATCAAGTACAATTTATGAGCAGATAATATCTATTGGACAGATACAATACTGGAACATAGGCTACAGCATTTACTGAATTGTTTAAATGCTTGTAAATTTAAATAATCTGCCACAATAGATGTATTAATCTCATAATTTGATGCAATTTGTACTACAGAAAATAATTCAATAGGTTGTGAGGTTCTAATCTAACTCAGTTGCTCAGCCTTTAATCTATTAGGTTGGCAGCCAATAGTGAGACGTCAGCAAATCCTACCAGATAAACTGAGCTCTTCCAAACAATCTTAATCTCTCACCTGAATATATTGATAGACTCTTCCATGGCCTCCTCACAGTCATCTTGGCCTTCTATGATCTGTTGACCTTTATAAAATCCAAGTTCAGTAATACTGCTATTCGCTTGCCACTCAAATTACCTTCAATTGCTCTAAGAAACATGAATTATCGGGCCTAGATACTAGGTGGTCCTGCATGTTTTGATGCCATTCCTTGTCTCCATGCCATCTGCCCTGATGCCCCTTCATGCTCTGAGCTCTGGTTCCACTAGCCTCCATTTGGTCCCTTGAGTGAGGCAATCCTGTCCCACCACAGGGCCTTTGCCATGCTGCTCTCACTACCTAGAATGCCTCTCCTTTTCTCCAACTGGGAGCTGTGCTGACTCTTCAGAGCACAATTCTACTACTACTTTCTCAGAAAAACATTAATTATCTACCTCCCTTTCTTAGGCCCTACGCCAGGTCAGGTCCCCTGCCATATGATCTCTTAATACTGTTTAGCTTTCTTTCATCACACTTGGCATGGTTGCAACTACATGTATATTGTGATTATTTGATTCCTAGGGTGGAGACTTTTTTGTTTCATTTTTTTTTAACCTTTGCTTGTGGCCTGGTACACTACTTGGCACCTGGCCAGTGCTCCATACAAGTTTATTGAATTCATCAAAAGAAAACTTGTTTCTGTGATCACATTCCAGAAAGGGATGCTTTTTTCATGTTCTAAGCATGGTATCAGGATCATAGGCATGCCAAATTTTTGTGTAAAGAAAGCTCATCTTTGGTTCGGCAAGGGGCAGCTTGAGGAAGATACTGAAAACTAGAAGTTGTTGCTGAAGCGAAGAAAGCACTGATAGAAATGCAGACCCTGAGGAATCAGTTTCCAAGCTTAGGAGAACAAAAGAGTACCTAGAAAGCTAAAAGCAGACCCAGGGTTCTCTCCTATCACAAGCCATAGATGTGCCATAAACAAGTCCAGGAGTGGCAGGTTAAGGAACCTATGAAAAAACAAGAAAAAGAGACCTAAAATAATTCACTCCCTCAAAAGGGCTCCCTGAAGAACCCTTGTGCACTGCTGGTGGGACTGTAAATTGGTGCAGCCGCTATGGAAAACAGTATGGAGGAATCCCCAAAAAAAGTAAAAATAGAACTATCATATAATCCAGCAATTCCACTTATGGGTATTTATCTGAAGAAAATGAAAACACTAATTAAAAAAGATACATGTACTCCCATGTTCAATGCAGCATTATTTACAATAGCCAAGATAAGGAAATAACCTAAGCGTCCATCAATGGAAGAACGGGTAAAGAAACTGCAGCAACTTAGATGGGCCTTAGGCTGTATGCTAGATGAAATAAGATAGAGAAAGACAAATACCATATGATCTCACTTATATGTGGAATCTGAAATAAAAAAAGCTTATGGACAGAGAGAACAAACATCAGTGGGGGTAGAGGTGCACAAAATAGAGGAAGGGAGTCAAAGTGTACAAACTTCCAGTTACAAAATAAGTAAGTCATGGGATGTAATGTACAGCATGGCGACTATAGTCAATAATATTGTTTTACATATTTGAAAGTTGCTAAGAGAGCACTTCTTAGAAATTGTCATCACAAGAAAAAGAAATATCTGTAACTATGTATGGTGATGGGTGTTAGCCAGATTTACTGTGGTGATCACTTCACGACATATACAAATATCAAACCATTATGTTGAACACTTGAAATTAATATAATGTTGTATGTCAATTATATCTCATTTTTTAAAAGGGGCTCCCTAAAAATAAAAATGCATTTGAACTACTGAAATTTTCCTAAAAGAAAAGATGTATCCCGTATGTGAATCACAAAAATATGTCTCCTAAATGTGTCCAGGACAGTAAGAAGTGAAGGGACTTTAGAAAACTGAGAAGTGTCTGAGAGAGACATTTTCACTTTGGATAATCATTACCTAAAAGAACCGTTGATGCTGGTAAATAAGGAACTGAGCTATTTGTTAACCTTCAGAATGTCTGTTAACAGTCTCCCTTCGAAGACAGACCTCAAGGTTGAGATATGACAAAAGTGGGCAGGGCAGAAGGAATAGGCTTGGGGTAAGACAGAGTGACACAAATGATTTGACATTAAAGCCAGCCACATTTCAGTGCCTCCTTTAATCATCTGCACTGTCTTCTAACTAACTAACCAACCTCCAAACTAACTTCCTTGAGTCCCAACTCCCTCAACTATAAAAAGATTATTTATCTTCATCCTGAAGGGCTGTTATGAAGATAAACTTCAATGTGTGTGCCTGCGTAGCACATAATAGGTGTTAACTCTCCTCTCCTGCCCCTCCTAGGGCTTCCCACACCTCCCACATCCATGATGATCAGCAGAAAAAGGGAAGCAGAGTTGACTCACCATTTATCCATATGCGGTGCCTTCAAGCTGGAAAGCTAAATGCATTTCCCTTTATTCACAGCTCAAATCTTCACCCATATGATCTCACCATCCGATATCAGCTCAAGCTCCTTTCAAATCCCACCTCAGTTCTTCCCTCTCTCCCTTACCAGAGCACCTAAACTGTCCAGGCTCTTCCTCTTCATTTCTACGTCATTCCTGTGTCTCCAGGTACACCAACAAAGATGTCCTCTTCTTACTGACTTAAACTCGTTCTTCTAATTCTACTGCTTCAGATAATATCATTCCTGCCTATTTGATTCATAGCATACATATTAGACAATCTCCCAATTTCTCCCTATATGAATAAAATATATTTTCCCCTTGTTCAGTTAAGACCCTTACTGGATCCTCAATAAAAGGATCAAAATATGGTGCTTTGCAAATGGAGACTGAGAAGTCCTAAGACTGGCTGATCTTGCATATATCAAATGGTATTTGTCTACTATGAATTAAAGGAATTTGAATGAGTTATGATACATGCTTGTAAGTGACAGAGCACTGAGCCCTAGAGGGATTCTTCCAGGGGATTCAGAAGGAAATTCCAAGATTCCAACATGAAATTCACAGCTCCTCACAACTTCCCCCACCTCCTCTCAAAGGTTTCCTGACCCTTCCCTCCTATAGACTCCCTACCACCAGAGGTCATGCTTACATCTCTTTTACAGTGTTCTAAAATTCTTTTCCTGCTTCTTGTCCCTGGCATCTATCTGGAATTGCTTAGCTAAGCAGATACAACAAATTAATCCTTGGCCCAATTAGACTGTTCAGGCACCAGTCATCTCTGCCCTGGGCCTGAAACATGTCTTTTCCTCCAGGCATCTCTGGGTTCTTTGGAAGTACAGAATTCTGGGTTTTCAGGGATCTGAAGGATATTTGGTCAATGGGTGCCTCCCTGGTACTACCATGACAGAGGCAATACTAGGCTGTCCATGTATATTATCTTATACTACAGAGTGGGCACCTCTATGAAGTACTTATTCAGCAGATCAGGTGAAGAACTCAGGCAAGAGTAAATACTGAACTTGTCATTATATTTGAGAAGCTAATTTGGGAATTGTATGTTTCTTAGGACAGGTGAAAATGGGATCCAACTATTTCAATTCCTTCTCCCTTTGTGAAAAAGATGCAACATTAAATGGAGTCATCTGTGTATCAGAAACAGTCAGCGAAGATGCTGTTAGAAATCAGTGCAGAAAATTACTGATGGGATACAGGACATAAGAAGAGCACTAGAGTAGGAGCTATTCATTAGCTGTAAGACCCTAGACATGCTCTGCAACTCCAAGTTTTCCTAACTTTATAATGCAGGACATGAGATGGAAGACCTCTCAGGGCATTTCTATCTCTAAAAATCTCTTATTTTGTGATAGATGTCAAATAATCGATGGTTACAGTATGAGAAATTAAGAAAGCCTGCAAGTGAGTAATATCACTTCAGTAACTTCCTTATTTTTTCTTGACCTTGTAATATTCTCTCATTGCCTGGTAATCATTTTTCAGGCAGGCCTAGAATTACAATGGGAAAGTGCATATCATAGGATACTCTAGTTTCCTTCTGCCTCTATCCACCTATAAATAGTATTTCACCAAACTGGGTATGAGAGAGCTTTCGAGGACAGTAATAAAATCCCAGTGAGTCCACTTGGGGCCCACACCCTCTCCCCTAACTTTCTTCTGTATTCACCTCCTAGACCGTCTACCCAACCCCTCAGTAGCTCTCTCAGAGCCACCTTCTTGTCTTCCTCAATTGATGAGTTTCTTTCAAATCTCAAATGGACATTTTTCCCAAAACTTTTTATTTCAGTGAGTTGATGAATGTACAAGTGGTTAAACTTCAAAAATACATGTCTAGAAATCAAAAGATCTTTTGTCCATATCTCTGATATGACTAAAACATCAGAAAATGCCAATAATATTATTAGTTCTTGTTCTTATTAACCAGACTGGAAGTTTACTATCTTGGTAATCAGAAGAAGAGAACAATGAATAAAAACAGTTTTGGGGGGTATAGTAATAAATTCTTTAAAATTTAAAGATGAGATGGGGCGGAGGGGGAGAGGAAAACAGAAGAAGGTAATAAGAAAGAGAAATAAAATCTAACTGAGAGGCCATCTCCACTGTGAAACCCAGGCTTTCCCAAACAGAATTATGATCACTTTCTCAGGCTGCCCAGGATCTTTTTTCTTATCATTTTGCTAACAAAATACATAACATATTGTATACTAGTTGCCTATGTATCTTTTTTCTACTGTCATGAGTACCTTCAGGTCATGAATCATGTCACATTCATCTTTGTAAAACTAGTGCATGTTTATATTCAATAAACAAATGCCAAACTGAAATGAAAAGTCCAATTAACAAGGATGATTGAAGATTACAAATTGCCCAAAGGAGGTGCTGCCACCACGCCTTATATATATTCTATACCTTGCCTTTTTACTTAGAGACTGGAAATCTTTCTTAAAGTGTATATTTTATGGTACTGCTCACATAAATTAATTTCTACAATTCTTGCCTCAGGGGTCTGCAAGTCCTCCCCTTACTCAGGATTACCAGTCAACAAGATTCACCAAGTCTCTGTTGGTTGAATATTATTTTAAACACATCAAAGAAGACGTGGCCTATGTGATCTCCTCTTGAGGAAGCTCACAACTTAGGGGAGTTGAGCATAGAATTCAAAACATCTGTGAAATACACCTATGAACACCATGAACATGAAGACTGTTGATCGGTTTTCTCTCTCTCCTATGGTCTACAAAAAATCTTATTCTCATTTTCTACTCTTTAAAAATTTCCCAACCTTTACGTTGCTACTTTCTCACCCTCTACACTTTTTGAACATCTTTAATCTGGTCATCATTTTAA